GATTGGCCGACTTTGCCACATATGACCACTGCGCCCTTACCTCAATATACGCGCCACAATATTGACCTGTATACGCCCCAAGCGTGGGATACGTGGGAAAAGTCGCAGACATCACAGCTGCCTGGTGTACCTGAGGTTTAACCACATGCCAGCTGTTCTAAACCTGGTTTTAAAAGGTTATTACCAGTGGCAGCCGGATGCCCCCTAATTGTAAAAACTTGGACTACTTTCAGAAACCTGTTGTGGCTGAGTAATACATTTGGGGGGGGGGGGGGGGGGGGGGGAGTGCCGAAAAAAGTTGCAGATTCAGTCCGGGGCAATCAATTCAGCAAGAAATTTGCAACTTTTTTTTCCATGTCGAAAATAGAACCATCTGAACCTCCTATTGAGAAAACAAGAGGAGAACTTCTGAGAGTGCTCTGCAAAGCGAATCCTCCTTTTCATGATAGAGCATTTTAGAGGCCGTATCTTACCCTTCCCTTAACCTAGGATGAACAAAAAATCCCTTTAAATTTTCTTTCCCTTCTCAGCGCAAGGATCGCTCTCAGAAACTGCATATTCGTATTTATACATGTGTGTAAAACCAAGCGAGGGCGGAAAATATGGGAAGGGTGTCTTTAAAGACAAACTTAAAGGACTTTTTTGTTCCCCTAGCCTAAGGGAAGGAAAAGATACAGCCCCAGAGCAGTCTGAGAAATCCCAACGAGGGACAGGAGAGATTTTCTATGGACCCATTCAGGATTACAAACTGCGATTCTCCAGTAGGACTCCTGCCGTTGTGAGCAGTTAACTTGTGCTAGCACTCAGGGGGCATACTAGTGTACGGAACCCTGAGATTCGCGGAAAAAACGCTAATCTACGTTACTCTTGAGCTTTCCGAGTAGAGGACATTCTTCTTCTAACATGACTTTGTAATATCCACTGGTCAAATAGGCTTAGACGTCATTCACAAGTTAATCCTTAGAAATCAACCGAGATCGGCTCAACCTAGTGAAAACCTTCTAGATTAAAGACTCTAGATTAGTGGTTATCCTCGGAAAAATTCCAGCAAGCTCAGAACCAGTGAAATTTCACTGATTAGACTAGAGAGAGTTGGCTATAAATCAGACTAATATCAGCATAGCGGCAACACTTTTCTGCGCAAATTACCTTGTTTAGCGAGCAATTCGCACCGAGCCAGTGGACCATCTGGACCAATAATTCCAGTGGAGCCCATTACCTCAGGGGTGGCTTAGTTGAGGTAGCATGACGATTAACACAGTCTGCAGGGTTAAACTCAAGGTAAAACACCTGTTAGGTGGGTAAGGCCATACTTGATGTGTACTACTTCTTCTAAACGCTCAATAAAATAAATGTTCGTTGTGATTTCAAACGCTCTGCATTCTCTGCTCCAAAAGTCCCACTGACTACATGAGGTGCTGACTCTATACCTAACGAATCCCTCAACAGACTTAGGACTTTGCGATGATAACTCAGTTCATTCGCCGTAATGTCATTGCCTGATGGTACGGAGTGTCCCAACTCCAAACTCTATTCGTGAGCATAGGTCAAAGAAAGTTAACGGCCTGGATTTTTATGATATTCCACCACGGCCACTTACTTCAGAGAAATGGCGCAGACGTCGGCGAATCGATGCTACAACGTTAGCTTCGCATTTCGGTAGGCAGCATACGCCAGTGCAAAATTCGTAGGGCAACTGGTCTGGGCACGTTCAGGGACTGGGTAGATGGTGCAAAACATTATAGTTCTGCTTAGGGCTTTGAGTGCCTTCTTGACAAATCTAACCGTACATAATTACAGCGAAGTATGGATGGCGGCTGGACGCGCTACTAGTCCCGGCTGTAACAGGCGATGACACAACCAGAACAGCTCACGAAAGGCTGAGGATGGGGAGAAGCGGGGGTGAGCGAGTAATGAATTGGTGTGGCTATAGAAAGGAAGGATATCTTGGTTTTCGCTGGAAGAGGAAGGTATGGGAAGGTGAGGGGGCAGGGGGAAGGGATCGTAGGATGGGACAGAGTTGGGCGGTAGGTAGCAAAGCCTGAAATGCTTTATTTGCAGTGCCAGTCGTAGGCACTTGGTATTACGAGAACTCCATAAGGGTGAAGGGTCATGCTCCACAGCAACTTCCTCAACCTGATGTCCACTCTGTCTCCAACCCTGCTACTACATACAAGTCCTAATCGTCTTCTAAACGCCACTTCCAAGTGACCACAGTTATCTGAAGCCGGCAAAAACCGACTATACCACAGAATGACCGCAACAACTTTACCACCATGAAATGTTTTCAGAATCAGTCTCTCTAAACGTTTCAAGCAGCTCCCGGCGCAGTGTAGCTCCGTGGCAGTCAGTCTGCAGGAAGGCCAGCTCCGACTGGTCTGGCAGAGAGGGACGACTCCGGATTGATATAACAGATTGTCTTATGCTTCCACCGTCAGAGCGGAGGACCAGCGTTGTCTCCCGACGCTGAGGGTCCTAATTAATGGTGGGCGCTGTAGGCTGATTGTTTGTGGGTACGGGTGACACGGATAATCAAAAAAAAGAATGGGGGGGGTCATGGGAAGGTTGGCGACGCAGGACCCACTGGGCAACGGTCGCACCTTTGATTTTGCAGCTTTGTTTCCATTCTTTTCATTGCTGCTTTTGGTGTAAAGAAAGGTATTTACGTGCGAATATACAATCAGAAACAGTAAAAGGATGGAAACAAAGCTGCAAAATCAAAGGTGCGACCGTTGCCCAGTGGGTCCTGCGACGAACCTCCCCAACGTTTACCCATCCCCGTCCCCTACCCAACATTCAGCATACGGCCCATGAGTGTTTCCGTGAATTTGACGCAATATTACGGACTGCCCCCCCCCCCTGCAACCACACTGCGCCCAGCTCCCCATCCCGAGACCATTGTCCCATGGCTCTCCGAGCCAGCCAGTATCAGGGCAGATCGCTCCCCCGTGCATGTTGGTCCCTCAAATTGCGCACGTCCATGCAGGCTGCCCATCGCGTTGTGCGCGTGCATTCTAACGAGCCGCGTTGCGTTCGCGCGATGGCTAATTCATTTCGCCGCGCCCGAATGGCTGCTAATGCGAGGCTGCGCCGCATGAGCGCCAATTTCCCGCAATCGACGGCAATTCTAAAGGCTCAGCCTTCATGGTCCGGACACGTACCACATCATTCCACAGCCTTGCAGACGCTCAGCAGAAATATCGAATAGACCAAACTATCATCGTATTCGTACATCACCTTCAGTCAGTTAGCAACAATATTTTATTGACAAAAAGGGAAAATATGACATATATATTAACAACAAACACAGTGAACGTATGCGCACGCGCGACGCGACCGCGTCACTTATGACGAGGGCTTTTTCACACAATTAGAGCGCATTCTGTAGGTGCGTGTGCATGTGTATGTATGGGTGTGTGTGTGTTATTGAAGGGCGATCTTCAACGAGATGAGAACGAATTTCCCCATGCGATGTAACACATACGAAACGCACAATAGCTGTGAATCTTTCTGGTGATCGGCAAACAAAACGCAACCATTCGATCACAGAGGCACAATTGGCGTGGCGACCACGACCACGATCTCATCGCGCGAGCCACCGACATGGGCGATTCGAGTACAGCGCGACGTCAACCCACAGTCGCACCGGGCCACCCGCGACATCTTGCATATCGAAACATCTCTTCTGTGATTAAGAAGTTTTATTAAGGGAACGAGATCGCCTCATAAACCACTTCCGACTTCGTCAACGTATTCGGCTAATGAAATTCAATTGATTTCTGTGCGCCAAGCTGCACGTTCACGTTTACACAAAAACCGAATAAGTGACGTGGTCGAAGTGAATCTCTCGAATCGCCCTGCGAACATATACATAACACCATTATACACACATAGGCCACGTAACCACGATGCGCTACACCATACAAATCGCCTGAAGAGCTCGCAGTACGATCGTTCGGCTGGGATTCCGTGCATGCTTTCACTGAGGGGAGCTCTTATATATTTTCTCTCCTTCGAAAAGAGAATTGAGCCACCAATTTGCTCATTTATGGTATTCCGAACGATCGCATACGACGCTTATAAAATCACAAATAGAAATCTGATGAGGGATGAGGGCCTGGTGATACAGACATACATGTACACCGAACGCGAGGAGAAGGAAAGACGTCCGGTCAAGGCGGCTTCTATAAGCAGATGTGCATCAAAAAATGGTTGCATGCACAATTCGCATGCGCAATGTATAGTCAACGCAAAATCCTGAGTATCGAAGCATGAAAACCCTAAATACGCGACGGAGGAGTAGATACAAGGACAGGCATGCACATGCGCTCTACGAAGTCTATCATGAAATTAGCCAAGCTTTGTGAAATTATATTACTTAGCGTAGACCTTAATGCACATGCCACTCCCTGAAGGCAAAAATAAGGAGGTGAGGGACATGCAAGCGAAGCAATGTTTACAAGAACATTCGAGGAAAGGAAAGAGGTTAATTGAAAAAGTAAAAAGCGGCTAATCGAACACCACCGGGTCGAAGATCTTGGGCTATCGAATCGCACTCTATCAATAATCAATAATGGCCCTAAATAAGAAAATCTCTGTCTAGAAGTAGATCAAAATGTCTTTTGCACAATAGAAGGTGTGTATTCAAGTGTGCATGAGTTAATAAAGTATATGCGAGAAAGCGTGCGCTTAAAAGCGAAAAATAAAAACGGAAGAAATGAAGAAGCAAAATAACAACACAGACGACAATCGATCAAATCGATCAGAAATGGAGGACGGCAGGCCCGTATTGAACAGACGTCATCGATCACAATATGGAAGAGGAAGTGGAAACATCAATGAACATAAATGAATATAAACACCACATAGTAGCTTATATAATTGCAATGAGGAGAGCCGACCATCGGAACGGAGGAGCACTAAGTGCCGCTCTGAACTGATATGACCGGAAAAAGAAAGGATACCACGTACATACAGAAGAAGCAGACTGCCCTCAGGGGCTATTCAACCAGCACCGCCTTTTGTTTGTCGACGTCTAAACGGCACACCGGGCATTTTTTGTTATACACCAGCCATTTGTCTATGCAGTTCACGTGGAATATGTGCGTGCAACGTAGATTCCGCACTTCTTCACCCGTCTCAAATTCGCATAGGCACACCGTGCAACGCTCTATTTCGTTTTCCGGTACCTGAAATACGAAGTAATGAATGTTGGGAAAAATCGAGCGCGATCAGAGGCGTTCAATTTAATAACGCTCAGGAAATCTCAACGAAAAAGGTTGACTGGGAAGGTCATCATTGGAGCATTCCTTTGTGACACGATGCGAATAGTAATTCTTTTGAAAAATTTCGAAAATCGGGGACGTTGTGCTGATGTATGCTTCACTACGGTTAACTCTAGGCCCAACCAAGACAGTGGTAGAGGACTGGGAAAGGCCATATTTGTAAACTGTTTGGTAAATTAACTAATCAATACACCTGACGCTGACCAGAGTCATCCTTCTGTACTGCAAAACTACTCTTTCAAAAATTCGCTATTTACAAAAACGGTTATTATGACGGCATCTGAGGCAGCGTGAAATCATCTCCAGGTGAAGCCCTTGCCACAAAAGTTCCTAGTGTTTACTGGACAGGAAAGTTTATTTCCAATGCAGTTAATCCTATTGAATTTTTTTAGCAGGAGGCCGAGTGCTAGACAAAAGTGCATACATTACTCGATAAGAAAGTGAAGTTAGGAGGAAGTTACGGCCCAATGCCAGCAAAGCCTCCAAAGGTATGAAAACTAGCAGTGAATAAGAAACAGGTTTCCAACCTCAACATCCTTTATGAAGTTCATCTTCTCAGTGCACTTTTCAATATCTTGCGGACTAGCACCAACTGGCAAGGGCTCGGCGACCGGTGCAGCGAACATATGATGTCGATCTAGCGGACGCTCGACCATACCGAGGAGTTCCGGAGGCATTGCAGTGTTCACTAACATATGCAGTTCCAGACGTCCATTCTGAAACTCACACAGACCATATCTTCATTAAATGGATGAAATGCAAGAGCGTCGAAACAAAGTTGCAAAAAAGTGAAGATGTGAAAATAGTTCAAACTGACAGGCAGACGTACCGACGCCGCCGGATAGCCTCCGGTTCGCGGTAGTACGTAGAGTCCAGTGGAACTTGGCAAAAGGCGTCCAAATTGGCTCAGCTGCTCTTGTTGTCGTTGTTGTTGCTGTTGGTGACGCTGCATAGACTCCAACATGTGACTAGCAAATATCGCATCATGCACATAGCGAAGACCCGCTGATGCCATTTGCGAGAGCTGCGTAGGTGGCGTGATGTGTGGGAATTGTGGGTTTCCAGGTACAGCCATTGGTTGAGCACTTAAATAGTGCACAATGAATAATCAAAACCCAAGGATTTATGCCAAATAATGTATTAGGAAAATTGCACTCGAAACTTACGGTTGAATCGGAGCTGGTTGAGGGTTCAACGCTACCGGAGCAGCTCCTGCTGCAGCCGTTGAGTGCGGGCAGTATGCGCAATAACATGGCACACAAGCAGGACATGGTCCACGGGATCCACAATGAGCACACTGCGTCGGAGGAGCGGCGGCAAAATCAGTGCCATTGGCGCTGGCTACAGCGGCTGCAGCAGCCGCCACAAGTTGAGATGTCGACGGTGGTTGATCATTCTGAACTTGCTGCTGCATACTGGGCACTTGCTGAGTGGGCTGTTGAGTCATAGGCTCTGGTTGGACAGCCTAGAAAAAAAACGATAGAAGACATCAATGAGCAAATTCGATGAGAATTTGTACCAACCTGAATTTCGCGAGTGCGTGCACCACCGCTGGCAACTCGTCGTAACTTTGGCGCACGAACCGATGCATCGAGAGTCGACTGGACGCGCGACGATATCGGAGCACCGCGTTTCAGTCGCATCGCCATGGAACGCATTTGAGGAGCCAGGGTGGGCGGTAACGAGGTATGCTGTCGAGCTATCTGTAAGGGATAATCATTTATAAATTGGGTCCTAAAGCAGACCAAAATTGATCAAGAAAAAATAGCCGTAATTTTTCCATGTTTTGACATCAGAATAATTGACGCCTTGATACTGCTGGAATTACTTGCGCAACCTTCTTCGCCAAAAGTGAAAAAGGGAGCCGCTGAATGTGTCACACAATCCCCATGAAATCACAATCTTCCTCCACATTGATGAAAAGGAGATGTAAA